TCCCCAAAACCCCAAAACCCCAAAACCCCACAGACCTAAAATTCAACAAATGTGTTAAGCAATAATAATAACAAGTTAGACATTAATTAGATGAATTAGAAACTTTATATTAAATAATCTTTCACACAATGCCTCCAATGCCTCCTTGATTTTATATGACAGCATCTACACTTAGCCATTCCTGTTTTTTAGGTTTTATTCCGTTTTCCATCATATATCCTACTATTTGATCTGGCATTTCTTTAAGCACTTCTTCGGCCAACATTGAAACATCCATTGTGGAATAGTCCTAGAATCTAACAAATTAAACTATATCTCTAGCAGCTACTTAGCCCTTTGAATTCCTTAATGCTTAGTTATCCGAATCTAAGAAGTTCATCTTCTCAAATCCTTCATTACCCACTCCGATAATAATTATGCTTACCGGGAATCGACTTAATTCAACTATTAAATCAATAGTTGCTGGCATATCATGAATCTCACCATCTGTAATTATCATAAGACAGTGATACATTTGGAATTGCAAGCATTATTGTACATAGACTAAGAGTGATTATAAAACACTTGAAAAATGAGTAGGACCAGCTAAACCTATTTAATGTATTGTTCTTTTATATGCCATATAAACATTTTGCAATCCTTAAATTTGTGGACTTACAGAACCATTCAAATTGAAGCAGTGAGAAATTTAGTTTGAACCAGTAAATCTTGGAATCCCACCGAAACCGAAAGTGGCAAACATTTAGTTAAGGGCGTAAGGTTCCATTACTTTTCCAACAGAAAGTAACGCCTATTCATATTAGTTGAGATTTCTTCCAGAAGGATCCTATTTATGTAAAGAATTCGGGTCTGTTTTTTCTCCATTCGAGGCAGTATAATCTATAGCAAAAGACATGTTTATAGCCCACCCACTTCTTAAATACTCCATAAAGTTCGGCATTTCTCTGATGACAAAGTTATCTATATTTAACGAGCCCTTTATCTTCCTTTTTTTATCAGTAATTTCAACTGATTTCTATCCAGATTATAACTATTCAATTGAAGTAATGCCTTCACCATAAGCCTAGTCTGTTCCAGAAATATTCTAAGAGTAGAGTTCAAATTTGATTGGAAGATTATTAATGCCATTGCATATTTGAGATAATTTAATCTTTTAAACGTTCCACATCGGCTGAGTAGAATTTAACATCGCAGATGACTTGTATACTCTAACGAAATCCTTATGATTGTTGACATCTCTAGCTCTTGATATAATGTAATATGGATTATCCTAAGTCCCACAGCATCCAGCATTTGATTGAACCCTAGCACTCACTCTGAGTCTTACCTCGTCATTGGTTGTATTCACGTTGTCTAGTCTCACCACTATCTTTCCTCTAGATCTAGTAGACTTATTATCTTTCAGATCAGCAACATAAGTTTATTACATTGAGCCAATAATGCCTCCTAAAGTGGTTTCATTGCTTCCAATAAAGTCTCTTGACGTATGCTATTGATTATCAATGTCATAAAGATCAAATTTGATGTTCTATTCTCTCTCGAAGAAATAGTCACAGTATATTATACTACTAAAATCGGGATTTAGATTATTGTTGATTGTCTCAGTTTTACCCAGCAATGTCCAGTTCGTTGTCTTTCTGTCTTTGATATATACCTCGCACATTGGGTCTGATTTACTTAGAACATCTAGATTTTTAAGATTTCTGCAAGATATTGAGAGTGATACTCTCTACTTCAAGGTATTGTCGCCATATGACACCGAATTTGCATGTGAAACACTCTCCATCTCAGGTTATTTATAAATATCAAAATTAAAAGTTATTTATATAAATAAAGTCTGAATAATTTAAAATTTGAAATATGCAAAAAAATACTAAAAATTTACTGGATTTGCTATAAGACTCTCTTGGAGTAGAAAATAAATCAAACTTACTACACAGACTTATCTCCAAAAAGTAACATTAATTATTCCTAAAGATTTCTGCAGATAGAACAAGCAAAATATAGAATAAGAGTTCTTAGAGCCAAACTCTACAAAGCAAAATCTTTCAAATGCATTTAGAGCAAAGACATCAAATGACATAATAATGTCAAAAGTTGCAAACATTTCTTACAAGTAACAACATAAGTTTATATTAAACAATGAAATGATAGTATAAGGAAAGAAGAGCGGTCATTTGACAAAGCCTAATTACTTGAAGTGCTAGCTTAATAACTGATTAAAAAAAGCTCATGCATCTTGGCACTGAAAATTTAAAAAGATGGGGCGAATCACTCTATGCTTGATAATTTAAATGAAATAATTAGGGTATCCGATCCTAGCAAACTAATCTAACTGCTGATACTCTTAAAAGATACAGTGCCTTAACCAGTGTAATAAGAATTTAGTGAATATGGAAAGAAACTGCTAGGCTAAGCTGCTTAGTCCAAAGATCAATAGATGGTCAAACCAGATAAATCTGAGTACATTAATACGGACACTTCAATCATTGATAGAGATAAGAACCAGAATATCTATTATACTAGTTATAACAACCTAACTTTCGAAAATTCTAGCTTTCTTGACTCTACCTAAGAATCCATTAAGTTCGAAGATATGATGAAGAGACCAAACAGATTCAATGATACATTTTCGAAGCCATTCTCCTAAATAACAAATGAGTAAGATTCAAGAAATAGCTAAAATACATTCTTGTTTGGGGCTATGCAAAGAATACAGCCAATCAACCATTCAAAAGACAGTAATCCATTTGGTATTAAATTTGAGATTCCACCCTTACCTTCTATCTCAGGTATTGAGAGTTAACTTTAGATTCCTAGTAACATGCCTAATTTCTTTTCTTTTATCAAAGCTCATGATAACTCTAATTAAAGCAGCTAGCAAAGTATTAAGAATGAAAATTCAAACAACTCTCAAGGTTCAGCAGGAGGTATCTAATGGATATCGAAATAAAAGACTCACAAAAAATCAGAAGCTAAAACATCACCACCATACAATAGAAGACAGCTTAAGGAGTATAATAAGAAATCTGCAAATAAAAGAAGTTTGATTTGGAATTTAATGCCTCATTTTGATGAAAGTTTAGTGAAATCAAATCTGAAAGAAGAATCTGGAATACAAAGATTATGGGAAGATGAATCGATTGATATTAAGTTGAGAGATCTGAGATTGTGCGAATCAGGCCTGCTAACCTCAGTCAAATGTAGAGAATTTAATAAAGCCTTCTTGAAATATACTGATAACAATTTTGAAATATATGAAAAGAAAGTATTCACGGAATCTGAGGTAATACAGATGGCATTACTAATGCTCTAAGGAGTGCCTAGTCAGCTCTTTTTGCTAAAGAATGAGAATTTGACTTTTATATTAAGACCTAACTTTGAAATCAGAAATTATTCTTTAAATTAAGAATCTGCCTCTTAAATATTTGAAAGTATGATTGAAAGTGGAGGCTTCTTTTTGCATCTAAGAGAATTTACTGAGTTTATGTCTTACTCGCAAAATAATGGAGGTATGATTTTGCAGAACTTTGTCTTGGCTTTATCAGATTTCCTTACGTTTTACTATAACTAAATTAATGAGCTATGGTCAGGAGTTGAAGCTAGAAGAAAATATGAGGATCTTACAATGTTCAACATTGTGGCAGACGAATCAACCCAAAAGTAGATTAATTCTTAGATGACCATACTTGAGTTATGCATTCATACAAGCCAGCTGCAGAAGTAAATTAGACTAATGGCGACAATTTGTTTTACTTAGAAATTCATAAAAGATCTTGAGCAGATTGACGACAAAAAAGTTATATCTGAATAATTATAAGAAAAAACTGAGGATCTAAAAAAAGTTATATATCATGGAAAAAATTTAAGAGAAAAATTTTAAATTGACATAGACAAAATTAGATCAAGAGTTTGGATGGAAAACTTTCCAAGAGGTGCATAGCTGCTCAGCTACTTATATCTAATTTTATTGTGTTTTGAATCTGATTTGTAAGCTGTAGATCTATTGAGAAGAATTTTCTAAAAGTCTATCTAACCCTTGCTCTCTATGATTAACAGTTTTATCTTTACTGGAGATTTTGATGATCCTTATGGTGAATTTTTCGTTGAAAAACTTTACAGAAGAGGTGTAGAAGCTAATATTCTTTAAATTCATGACTACTTGTTTAAGCTTACTTCAAACCCTCAAAAAAAGATTCCCATATTTATGGTTGATTCAGTTTCAGTCATCTTTAAAGCTGGTTCCTCTCTGCATTTACTTAGAAAACAAGGAAATCAGCTCTCATAATATCACGACACGACTGCAATAAAGTAGTATTATGAGATATGTACTAGTGGAATAAATAAAATATCAGAGGTAAAAATGAATACTCTAGGTAATTAGTACTTTAAATTCCATCATGAAGCCTTTAATCAAATGCATCTTGATTTCTAGATATAGCATTTAAGAGAAAATCAAGAATCAAAGACTAAGCACTTTGAAGACCAGACTGAAAAACTCTAGTAAATAGAGATGACTATTGTTTAGCAAGAAGAGGAGTATTTTTTCAGGTAGGTTATACTACGCGAGGAAGCTAAAAGAGATTATGCCTTGAAAAGAGAGATAGAAATGGAAAAAGAGCGAAAAGTAATAAGAGATAGAAAAGAAGCATACATGAGAGAAATTCAAGAATAGCTTGCTGAAAAGTAACAGAGGAAGGATAAAGAGAAGGAAGATAAAATTAAGGAGAATGAGGTAATTAGAAAAGAGTAGCAAGAATATGAAATGAGGAAGAAAGCCATTGAAGAAGAACTGAAGAGATAATATCTCGAAATTATCAAGGAGAATTAAAAATTAGGTGAGGTTACTAAGGATATTGGAAAGTAAGATGAAGACGAATTAGACAGACAAATACAGCAAATTATGGAATAAAAGAAAGAGGAGGATATTCAAATTTAAATGCAAGATTAGCCGCCAGTTTTAAGAAAAGAAATATAATTGAATACTCAAAATTAAAGCAAGATTCAAGATGTAGAAATGAAGGATGAAAACCCACTAAAGAATGATGAGATGACATTAGTTTAATAATAACTCGAAATCGATAACCCGCTTTTATCAATAATCAATGATGCTCTCTTAAAAGCATAAATAAATCTCAATTAATCATAGATTAAGGAGGAAATTATGATTGATATGAATCCAATAGAATAACCTTCTTAGTTACTGAAATTAGAAGAGATTGAATTCATTGATTCTGAAACTCCTAATGATGAAAGAGTAGATCAATCCAAGCCATAAGAAACTGATCATCAAATGATATAGATAGTTATTGAAACTTTCTTGAAACCCTTATTTGAAAAGATAAACAGCAGAATAAATGATATTGAGAACATAAAGAAAAAGAGACTCACTTGGAATCGTATTAGAAAAGATGAAAAAATACAGAAATTTTAAGAGATAAAGAGTAAATGGCGATATCAAGAGCCATAAATTTCAGTATAGTCAAAACTTAATAACATTTTTAAGGAGTTTGAATCAGTTTTAAAAGTCGAGAATGATTAACAAGATGAGATTGCTATAGGGCATAATCAAGTTCAGTTAAAAATAGAATCTGAAAACAGAGTGAATGCTTACAGTGTCCCAGTTAGTTTGGCTTTGCATTAATGTGTAGTAACAGTTGTGAAAGATCAATATAAGTTAGTAAACAAATGCCTTATCCATTTAATGTTCAGAAGATTGAATCTCTTCAAACACTTAGAAGGGCTAAAGCAGTTTTTCTTTTGTTATCAAGGAGATGTGATATCTTACTTTATGGCAAGTATATTCAATGATGATTCTGAGTCTACTATCAAAGAAAATACTCTTTCATTCATTAATGGGTAGTTAGATCTTGCTGTTAGGCTAAGTTCATCTGAGCGAGCATTAGACATAAATACTCAAGAAAATAAGGACCTTATGGGAAACTTCAACCTAAATACCTTAGGGGAAAACTTTGAATTTTAAGCCTTAAACATGACAGGTCTTAATCAGAATAAAAACTTCTTCTTTACTGCTTTCAATGTAACCCTTATATGTAATCTTATATCAATTTATAGATGCAAGAGTATGTGAAATTGATATATAAGAGGAAATATCCATTAGATTTGGTGATTAGTGATTAATGCATTGAGAAGTACAATTCAATATTCTACTTCTTGATTAAGTTGAAAAGGATTAATTAGATTCTTAGTCAAATGTGGAAATATCTGAGCTCATCTGAATTCAAGGTAAAGATATTCTTTTGTTTTATTTTGATTTAGAGATTACCCTGGAAAGAATATCATAAGATCAGAAAAATTCAGCTGTTGAGAAATAAGATGCATCATTTTACTTCTACGCTAGAGTAATATGCATTAACTGAGGTCATTCATTCCTCTTGGTAGACATTCAAAAACAACCTACCTCATCAGTATATGTTTGAAGACTTGATAAGACTACATAATGACTTCCTTGACTAAATAATGATAAAGTGCTTTATCGATAAAAAGGATCACAAGATTATGGGTTAAATCACCAAGCTTTTCAGTTTTGTTATTCAATTCAGTAAGCTTGTTAAGGAATACGGAGCACAGATAGTCAATCAAAAAGAAGCTATAGATGAGGTTCATTAAATTTCAGATTCCTTTGAAAGATATACCTACTACCTCTATTAATTGGTTAAGCACCTTGCTCACAAGGGATCGTTCAAAGAGCTATTTCTACTTCTTGATTTCAATAAGTTTTACGACAGAGGCAACGCCGTTATTGGAAGTCCCTCATAGAATTTATCTTAATGAAATTGAAAGAAAATTTAATCTTTTCCTTGCTGGTATAATGATTGATAATTGATTTATAATTTTATCTTAATCTTGATATCATAACTACCTTCTCCCTTTAAACTTAATCCCAAAGAAGAAAATAAAAGGAATATTCGATTCCAAATTATTCTATCTTTTTATTAATTCTCTTCTCAATCCAAACTAGACTCTAATTTATAGCTTAAATTTGAAGAATTGAGCTATATTTCTCAGTCCTTCTAGCTACTTCAACAGGTCCATTCCTCCAGGCAATAAATTGTAATTATTAATTTGTATTAAATTTTGAAATTTAAAAAGAATAAAATAATGAGTGGAATTAACGCAATCAATAACAACTTAATTGCAAATCATAACCCTGCTGCTTCTTCAGCTTAAAACTCAAATGGAATGAAACTAGACCTGAATATAGAAGCCCCTTTTATTAAGATAGTGCATGAATGTATTGTCAAAAGTAGGTGATCGATTGATGTGAAGATAACTTTAATTTAGCTTTTAAAAGTCATAAGAAGTATATTGAAAAAGAAGTGAATCTCATCGTAACTAAGATCAATGCTATTAAAAAGCAAGGGTCAACCAAGGGAGCTTAAACTGTTATTGATACTATCGATCAACTTATATCTAAGCTAAACCAATTGAAAACTAAGGTAAGTATTTCAGAACTGCAGTAATTGAAATTTGACAAAGCAATATTTGATTAATGAGCATTCAATTGATTAATTATGATGTAGTATAATAAGATGCTTGAGGCTGAAGATTATCTGTTTCAAGTCATGAAAAAAAGGTTGTAGCACCTGAATTTTATGAATGAAAACTAAGTCAATCCTGAAGTCATGAAAGATTACTTTACTAAAAGACTTAATAGAATTATCATTGATTATATGCTGAGGGAAAACTATTTCGATTCAGCTCAGATTTATATAGAAGAGACCGGGTTAAAGGTAAGTTTAAGTTCATCTACATTTGATTTATCTTAATGATGAAATAAACTTACTTATGGAAAACTGTAGGATTTTGTAGACTTAGAAGTATTCGAGGAAACAAGCAAAATACTGGCGAAGCTAAAGTAAAGAGATTGTCAGGATGCACTTACTTGGTGCAATACTCATAAGACTAAGCTTTAGAAGTTAAATGTAAGTTCAATTCTATTTCTGTGATGAATTTTATTCTAGAGTTAATTAGAATTTAAGCTCAGAATATAAGAATTTATCCAATACATAAAGTCAAATTAACTGCAAAAGGCTATTGAGTATTCCCGAAAATAACTTTAAAAGTTTGGAGAGGACTAGAAATTCCTGAACATAATTCAGCAAGTAATGGGCTTTTTAATATTTAGAAATGATCAAAGAGATAAATATGAATTCTACAGAGTAAGAATTAATCAAAGTAAAAGTAATGTTAGGATTTTACTGATGAAAAGAGATGGAGGGAAATTGAAGACCTCTTTGTAAAAGAATCTTATTAGTTATTCGCATTACCTGATACTCCAATGATAAGTCAATCACTATCTACAGGCATTCCATTATTGAAAACAGAATTTTGCATGCATAATGACTCTGCTAATTAATCCTGCCCCACATGCGCTTGCAACATAAGAAAGTTAGGATAGAAATTGCCCTTCTCCCATTAAACTTAAACTTGCATCACTTGTGTGGTGACTGGAGAACTTATGAATGACTAGAATCAGCCCTTATTCTTGCCAAGTGGCCACATTATTAGCGAAAGAGGACTTAAGCTTATTAGAGATCAGAGTGAAAAGGATAAAGTGATTTGCCCCTTCACAAATTAATCAATCTCTCAAAATGATGTCAGGAAGGTATTCTTCTCTTGAAGTGAAAATTATTGCACTTTATTTTAAGTAAAGTGCTAGAGATCATTGGGATTAACCCAACTGATGCTCTTAAATGTACTGAATGTGTTGTAAACATTATTAGATTCAATAAAAAGATTTAAATCTTTAAATTTTTGCTCATTTTAAGGAATCCACTCTTCATGGGGTTTTGGGGTTTTGGGGTTTTGGGG